CTGTAATAATAGACTTACTCCAGTGATATGAGAAAACAGGGTGTCTTTTCATGAACCAATACAATGGTTGAGAGATTTTGCATTAAAGGCAGAAAGACAATATTATACTGAGATGCACAGTTTCCCCAGAAAAGGATCATCATTTTGTTTTCTTCTGTTTTTCAGTTATTTTCTACATCCCTGTGGAAGGCCTAACTCTGCAGCATCAGTACCTTGCCTTCTTTTCAGTCCTAGATATATTCATAAAATCCTTGACTATTGTAGCAGCTTGTGGTCACAGAAGAGAAGAAAATAGTTGAAAGGAACAGTGAAAGTTAAATGCTTAATAGGTCCAGAAAAAAACAGTGGAAATTAACAGGAGCCTCAAGATAAAAAATGATGGTGCTCAAAACCTTTGCTATCTTGTTTGTACCTGACTGAGCATGATTTCAAGAAAAAAACTCTAATTAGAGACTGATTTTACACATCTGAAGAAAACACTTGATCAAAATTCAACCCATACATGCCATTGCTAGCTTTCAATTAATATTTCTCTCAAGAGCAAACTTCTTCCTCATATACCCTACCTGTAATGGGGAACCTAAGGCACTCCCTTCTTCAAGTTTGTATGATATACTGTATAACCTAATAAATCTGGCATGCTTTGGACTGATCACCTGCTGGAAATTTGAAAATGCCAGATTTTTTAAACCAGCACGGCGGTCTGTTGCGGAGTGGGGGAGGGGGTAGTGGCGGCCAGACCTGGAGCAGCAGCTGCACACGGAGCAGCAGCATGGGGTGGTGAATGGCAGTGGCAGCGGCTGAGTGCAAGCTTTCCCACCTGCATCTGGGGGAGGGGGGGGAGTGGTGGCTGGTCCTGGAGCGGTGGGGGGAAGAGCCAGATTTTTGATATCCAGATTTATGAGGTTATACTGTATTAGGACAAAGTAGTTACACAGAGGTAATTCCTGTGTATTTTAAGAATATTCATTTGTTTTCCCCAAAAATCTCATCATCACTACCAGAAAGGTTCAGCCACAAAAGTCTACATTTACTTCCTGATTTGTGTAAAGTCTTGAACAAGTTAATTTTTGCACTTATGCATTTACAACTTGAGTCAGAGCAGGAACAATTGTTTTACAATTATCCTGTTTACAATTATCTTTTAAAGAATGTACATTAAACATGGTGAAGTAAATGAGAGTTGGCAGTACATCTTAACCTGTACTGTTTTAGGTCCCCTCTACATGTTATAGGTATTGTATAATTAACTGATATTGTATAATTAACTGGTTAATTGTGCAATTACCTTAAGACCAGCTACACGTGCAAAGTACTTATCACACAATAAAAAGCTCCAACCAGCCATAAAGTTAGACCTTAAAAATGTGTACTAATGTTATAGCTGGTTGTTATAAAGTTTTAATTTGCATATGCAGCAGGCTGACAGGACTTCCAGCAGCACAAGCACACCTTGCCCAGTGCGAAACCCCTGGGCCCAGGGGAGCATGGCTGCCTCAGTTCCCCAAGGCCTGAGGGTTTTATGCACCCCCGAGCATGGGAGATCATGGCTGCCATGATACCCTAGCCTCAGCGGATCATGGCTGGATCCCCTTAACTGAGGGGGCTCCCAACTGTGGGAACTTACTTTTTGCCAGTGCAGGGGGAGCACAGGATCAGGCCCCCACTGCACCAGCAATAAGGTGCAAGGGGATCTTATGCAAGATCCCACAATCGTGCCTCCTGTCATGCACATGCAACTTTACCTACACATGTAAAGGAAGCCTTATGCTCAGTTCTACTTTAAACTACAAAAAAAAGGGGACAACTTTTCACAGTGCGCAAGATCTTTGACTTGGTACTCAACTCACCCAAGCAATTCTAAAATTACAAGAACAAACCTAGCATCTGTGGCCTACACATGGCCCATGAGATAAACATTTGTCTATTTGCAACCAGTAGGACTTGTCATTGTACATACATTGTAGACAGATGATAAGTAGGAGAACATGCAAGCAACAGAATCATAAAACAATATAAAAGTAGGGACCTAAGGAGGTCATCTAGTCCAACTCCCTGCTCAAGACAGGTTCATTTTTCACTAATCCGTCCAAGTCAAGTACCTGCCTAACCAGCTCTCAAAAAGGATGGAGATTTGACAACCTGTATGGGTAGCCTACTCCAGTGCTTAATCACCTCATAGTGAGAAAGGTCCTTCCTAATATCCAATCTAATTTTCCACTGTTGCAATTTAAGACCATTGTTCTATTGCTACAGAGAATAATCTATCACTATTCTTTCTATAACCACTCTTCTAGTATCTGAAGACTGTTACCAAATCTCCCCTCTATCTTCTCTTCTCTTCTTTAACTAAATAATCCTTGTACTTTCAGCCTATCCTCTTAAGAGATATGATTTAACTAAGCTGAAACTTCATTAACTTAACTAATTTGGAATATTGACAACCATAACTCATCAAGTATAGGTGATGTTCCTCCCCCTAATTGCTTCCTCCTTGTAGCAGGCTGCCTACCACAACTGGTTCCTAGACCATTGCTAGTATCTCATCATCTCTAACGGCTATAGCGTTAGGGAAAGGAGGTTATCTCCTCTGTGAAGCAGGCCTTAGAATGCCCAACCCTGTTCCTCAGCTTATTTATAAGATATCTACTTTCCACTAAATCCACTTCCACTTGTGCTTTATTATGGAATTACATCATCTATGGAATGAATACCTGCATTAAACACCTGCTGCCTGCTAAACTGTGACAACCTGAACCTTACCTCTTGACTTATCTTGCTGTGTCCCTGAAATATTGTAGGGAGAAGTCAAAAAAAAAAAGGAAACTAGCAAGCATTGGTCCTTCTGGCAGCAGAGGCACAGTAGGGCATCTCTGTGCCCTGGGCAGTGACTGAGCATGGGATAATACTGGCTACCACAATGCCCACAGTGATGGTGGCTATTTTTTTTTTTTTTTTTTTTTTTTTTTTTTTTTACACACATACACCCAAAGCCAATGCTCCTAGCTACTGCTGCCTCCCCCTCCCTTCAGCTATTCTGCTGTCTGGCAGTGAAGGAAAAGTTCCTTCAAATTTTCTTCATTTTACCTATTTTTAGGCAAATTACAGAATTCTCATAGCAAGAGAATAACCCCAGTCATATGTTAATTTCAGGAGTAGGAAATCAGGATCTGATAATCTATCAGCAAAGACAGGGTTCATCCATTTTCTTAGTTTCACAGAGGGTATCTGGCCTTAGAATGCCCAACTCTGTTCCTACCAATGTGAACACTTGTTCAAGTGATGTCCTTTCCCTTCCCAAACTTCTTGAGGGGGGCTGGAAGTGATAGCATGAATGTGGGACAGTATGGATGAAATCTCCTGATAATAGCCTTTTAGAACCATTGCTAAATGTATAGACTTTATGGTAAATAAACTTTACAAGACTAGTATACAAAATTAAACTAGAAGTATTTTTTTTAAAGACTACAACTTGTCAAGTAAAAAAGGGAAGAAAATAGTTAGAAACTATATGTAATTATTTGTTTAAAAGCACAGGGTTGGTTAGACCAAAAAATTGTATTAGCAGGCAAACATTTCAATATTTATTGATTTATGTCTAAAATAAATTAGAGTCTATTCTATTGTTCTTGAGATGGATGATATGTGGAGGAAGTAGGTATTTTAATATCCTGTTTAACGTCAACTTAGAAAATGAGATTCTTCCTTAATATTTCCATTTCATTCACAAAGACTGAAGGCTCCCCAAGAAAGGGACACCAGTATTTAAAGAGATGCTAAGTGTTCAAATGACAGATACTACCTTTCTAAAAGGCAAAATCCTCAGTTTTTTTTTTTATGGAAAAAAAATAATTTGTTACTTGCGCTTTGGGGTGTGAAGGAAACCCAACAGTTTGAATTAAGTTCCATAAAATAACCAGCAAATAAGCACATTCTTCTTAAAAGAAACATTTAAAAAATCTAATAATTTAATACTGATTAAAGGCAAAGAACAAAGAAGCAGACAAGGACTACTAGATTAGCAGGTCCATGTGGTAGGATAAATCCGTCATAGTACTTATGTTGCCTGTGAACCCCCTGAACCTGCAAGAATAAACATTAAGTATCATTGTGAAAATGTCTATTCTCTCTTGGTATCATTATAAAATTAAATATATATTTACAAAACAAAGATTCTACCCTAGTTTATTTTTACACAAAATTGGGACCTCAGTGTATATTCTGAGGTAGTTTATTACCTATTGTTTAATGCTGGACATTTCTATCTATCAGCCAATTAGTTTACTTAAGAAACTAATGATTCTTGTATTTCTATAGCTTTAGTCCAGTTTACAGACTGTAAAGAAGGTTTTGCTAGATCATAACAAACTTCTAACAAAAGTTGTGCTTAGCTTCTTTGGTTTTAAGTTCTTCTATCAAAAAAGCTTTCTTCTAGTCTAGGTTGTATGAGACGTATCACACATATGCAGTTCCAAATAAAATGATGAATTGAAACTTCTGCAAGAAGATTCTTTTAGCACAGACCTTTACTCAAACTTGTATCAATGCAGCCACGGCACAATGAAAAATATCCCTTTGACTGACTGAGCTAATTACAAAGTTAAATTATGGGGTCCTTGTAAAAGAAGAGTTTGCTAAAGACACAATTTCTACAACATTGCCTGGAAGTGGCTAAATTCCCAATAAGACCATCTCTATTGACCTCTATTCATGAATGAATTACGATTTTTTATCTCTGCATAACATGCAGCATTTACTTACCCTTAAATTTTGAAGCATTCCAGTTTCTGCTGATGTGACTATATTCCCAAAATAGAACATTATAGTAATCCTCTGCTAGACATTTAAGCCATTTGTGTATTTATTTTTTAGTTTCTTTCTTGAACTTTCTAACTGTGAGAGGGCTGGGAAAGTCAAAGCATGATGAACGAGAGTTTGTTTTCTAAAAAAGTAGAAATGCAGACATTTGATCTAACATCGAAAAATTCACAGCCTCCTACCTTGAAAACAAACATTTCCCGACGAAGAATAGCTAGCGTGTCGAAGTTCCCATCACAGATGTTAGGTTTGGATCCAGGATAGGAAGGTTTGTCACCAGTGGGCGGCCGGGGAGGTTTTGGCTGCCTATCATTCTTCCCAGGGTTAGCTGGAGGGATAGAACGATGTGGGGGCACTGTTGGCAGAGGTTTTGTTGGTGGTGGGATCTTGTCAGGTGGACCTTTAAAAATACCAGCAGGACACTGATTCAGATCACACTTTAAAGAGGACTGCAAAAGTGCAACAAAGGTACACCATAAGGAACAAGCCTGTATCGATAGAGGACTGGATTAGATATTCCTTTTATGATTTCTGCAGTTTTGGTTCCAGACAGCTGAGGCACTAACAAAGGAAAAAAGAATGATTTCTTGAGAATTGATACCTTGCTCCTTTATTCAGCAACAAGGTTAGAGACTGCGAAGGGTGCTGAAATTTAAAATCATGAACTGTTTATAGTGTGTGCTTGAACAACTTTGAAAAACTGTCTTGTTGAGAACAAAACTTGTTTGTTATGTAAAATGTAGGAAATTTGTCTTACAAGTATGTAACAAAAGCCTCACCAAACCATGTTTTTGAATATCCTCTTTATTATCTGTATTTATCTATCCATTCACCTATGCGCACACACAAACTGCACATTGAGTGGGAATATTTACATAAGAAATGACAGAAGCAAGTAATGAAGTGCATTGATCCAGCACCCTTGACTATCTAGCCTAACCAAACATCTGTCTACTAGTTAGTCTATTCTGGGACTATTACTAACATTTCTAGCTTTTGAGCAACTAGCTGTCTCACATAGAGAGTTCATAAAAGCACAAAAAAATTCCTTCTTTCCCCAGAAGTGAAACTTACTCCACCATTTATGTTGGCCCAGATCACAGATCAGAACATTAATTGTGTACCAGTGACAGATGTAAGATCTAGTACCTTGCAGCTCCCCAGGAATACAGTTTAGAAAATTTGAATTCCAGGAAATGTTATCTCCCCATGTCTCTAAGGGACACAAAGCCCTTTTCTAGGATTGAAAGAAAATGTTTATGTTGGAGTCAGGCATTTCACGTGTCATAAATATATAGCAGAGCTCTTTAAAAGTTTCTAAAATTAATTCCTTACCATTTTTATTTCCATGCGAGTTCTGTACAACTGCACTTATGGCTACTAATATGGCAACTGTTGCTATAGGTAAATGAGCTTCGATAAAGTCAAATTAAAAATAACTAGCTAACTCTCTGCATAGCATTTGCAAAATAGTTTTTTCTCTTTTTTTAAAAAAAATAAATGTGAAACTGGTGTGATGTAAAAGTTTTGATGACACTCATTTAGGATGATCTAATGAGTCCATATATAGTTAAATTACTGGTCTACATTCATGCTATTAAAACTCTCAATGTCAGATCATATGATTTACAATTGGCAAAGTGAAAAAAAAGTCATTCAATTTCTAGAGAAATGCTGGGTCTAATAATATTTCTCATGTAAAGGATAAGATGTCTTGCCTAGGACCAGTAAAATTTCTGGTGGCAGAAAGGGCATTTTAAGTCTACTCATTTCCTCTTTTGATCATTTAAATTACATAATTTCAGTATAATAAAGCAGCTTGCACTCTTTCATTTGCCGCACTCCCTCATTTGCATGATAGTAGGTTAAACAGCAACTCTAGCTGGAGACAAAGCTAAAACTCACAGTGAAATGTGAATTTCTGGTACCTGATCAAGGTAAATGAACTAGAAGGATAAATATTTACTGACTGAACATTTAAGGGAACCTTAAATTACCCACACAACCCCAAACAGCCATCACTAAGATCTAATAAATCACGTATTTTGTTCATAATTTTAAGGTGCATGACAATCATAATTAACAGGTAATGAGGAAGTTTTCAGCAAAATAGAACATGTTTACTTCAATACAGGTATTATCTATTGAATCCAAATAACCTTTTAACATAAGTTTTACAGAAATCAATTTGACTCAAAATCCAAATTAAATTTTCATATATAATTTGCTATTGATGTCAGGCATTTCTTCCCAGGGGTAATAAATGTCTTCAAAAGTATAGCTTACAGCTGTCAGAGTTTAATATTTAGTGTAAAGGGAAAATATCCTTGTCTAGCCCTTTAGTCTAGACTAAAGGGCTAGACCAATGTACAAGGTCATGAGAAATAACCTTCTTTCAGTTTAACCACATACAAGAAATTATAACCAGCCAGTCACTGGGTTCCCTCTGTGGAACAGTCTGACTATAATAAAACTTAGTATTAGAATATTTAACATGGATGTAGTTGGCTTTCAGTTGGAGGTACATTATTATCCTATACTAATTGAGATGGCTTTCCTAACAGTAAAGACTAGCAGGAAATATAATCCTGTTAATATTCAGTTTAACCCTGAGAGAACACTTACCACTCAGACATTTAAATTGAAAAACTAATGAATGCAAAACAAATTAGTGAACTTAAACTATACTATTTGCAAATGTAAATGATATCTACTGGTTACTTTGCATTTACATACAAATCGTATGCATCTTTCACTGTAATACTAAAAGCACTCAATTAAATAAGCAAAGCAGAGTCCTTAATAGCTAAACTACAGGTGTCGAGCTCTTTAAAACTATGTAGGAAAAAGTGCCCTTGGAAATGTCAGAAACATTAATGTAGGAGTTGTAGGAGTTAAACCTACAATCAGTAAATTGTTTTTTCCTCCAATTAACTTGATTTCTTAAACTAACACAATAAATTTAGAATTTATTTACGCTGGATGTTTCTTTCATTTCGGTTCACTAAAGCCAAGTACACAGATATGTTAAAGACTGGAACTTTTTTCCTATGTTGTTCAAAACTTGGGTTGGTAATAACATAGTTTTAAGATCAATTTACTATATTTATCATAATAGGGGGCTTGCTGGGACCACAAAATTACTGTACCCAGGGAACTGCAGAGTATTATAACAGATAAATGCACAAACAACCCATTCATCCATTTATATGAGCTTAGAGTACTGTGGAAATAAGCTTGTTAAGGTTTAAGCTTTCATATCTTAATATTTTAATAGTCTGGGATTTCTCTGCACATATTCTTTACTACCATGTTAAATATTTAAGGCTGCCATTCCAGCTGAGTGCAGATTTAGATTAAGGTTGTGAACAGTGAGAAACTAAATAAGAGAGCTTCATCAGAATCCTTAGCTTCCTCATAGCAAGAAATCAAGGCCTCTGAGACTATGGCTGACAGACTGCACTAACAAACACTATATTTTTTCCCTTTATGCCCAAAAATGCTCTTAAGCAAAATGCCTCACATGTATAATAACATACCATATATCTTCTGGATGCCTTGTAAATCATCAGTAGGTAGTTTGAAGTTGTCAGTTTCCATATACTGGTAAAATGGAGCCATAATTGCAGTGGGGTCATTGGAATGCTCCAAGCCTAGAGCATGCCCCAGCTCATGCACTGCAACTAGAAAGAGATCATTCCCTATGGAAACAAAAAAGGAAGTGCTTTATAATAATATGAACAATAAAACAAGGCTAATACCATAATGAAAGATATATTAATTGGTAAAATATATTTTACCAGAAGAAACCAAGAGTCAACATCTAGGGGATCACCTGAGCAGTGGCGGGCAGTTTTTTTTTTTTTGTTTTTTTTTAACAAGACTATGATGATTATCTCTTTATGTTGTCAGAGATATGGTGATCCTCTGATGGATACCAATGAACATACTCATCTTCATTTAAATAGTGTTGTAGTGTGCACACAGTTAGTGAGCATCAGTCCTACATCCATGGCTAGCTCACATACCATTTCAAAGTCTACTTTAATCCTCCAAGAATGATTAAAATGTTTATGTTACAAAAGTAGCCTTAAGCTCTGAAGAAAAATCTCTCTGCCACATGCGGTAAACTTCACAAAATGAGCACTGCCTATTTAGGACAAATCCTGCAGAGAGCCTTAGTTTTCCTACTGTTTCCAATCAGACCCCTGCTGATGACCTGTACATGTTGTCCGTTTCTGAATCAGCCCAACTGAAATCATTACACAGATAAAGGTACAGATAGGTGTCCCATTACCTCTGTCAAATATGACCCACTTTTATTTATTTATTTTGCAGTGGGAACTAAGTAAATTCAGTACTTTGTGTTCTCTTTACATAGGTAAATGGCTATATAAGAATTAGAAGCTTTTGTTTTAAAATAGCTCTTAATAATAACCAAATATGAAGCATTTCCAGTTACTAAGATGGAAAAGATTAAAATAACTGACTGAACGTGATGCATATCGTTCCTTAAGTTTCTCCGTGGGTGCATCTACACAAGAGGTTTACTGCCAAGTTCTCTAATTAGCTCTGCAGGAAATGTCTCAGCATCTACACGTGCAGTGCTATGAGGATGGAGTATATTAATTAACTCCACTGTAGGTTAGTATTTGTAAACAGAAGTACTATCCTACAGTGGCATTTTTTACTCCTCAGCAATGCACATGTAGATGCTGACCCAGCTGGCTGGGACATGTGGCTTCTGCTTACCCCCATGCTTGTGCCCCAGCCAGTCCCTCCACAGCATGTTGAACCAGGTGAGGGCAGCCCTGGGCTGGCAGGCTAACCCCCTCCCCCAGGATCCCTACCATTCAGGGATGCTCTGACCCAACTCAACGTGCTGTAGTTCCGGGCACAGCACTCAGGAGCAATGAGCTCCAGAGTGATATGTGCCAAAGTTTATTGCTGCGAATTAATTGCATGTGTAGATGCACCCAGTTATTATTGTGTACTAGAGAACAAATATAGGAATGCTCACATTGTGTTTATATCTATCTTTTTGGAAATCCATAAAAGACTGGTATTAGCATACAGATTTCACTTAAAAATTGTTCACAGCAATGCTTGATTTTTATTACAAGTAGTTGAGAGCAATTAGAAATTCTGATCCATGGAATTATTGCAGCCTTGCTAAAACTAGAGATAGAGGCCTTGAACCTGGTATAAAGATCTAGACCAGGGATGCCCAACCTTGGTCTGTGGGCCAGATCCAGCCCATGGCACTATGTAATCCTGTCCATGGAGCTCTCCAATGGGCCTTGCAAGGGAAGAGTGATGCTCTTGGAGGCTAATCCTGGCATGCAGGGTCAGTATGGGATCCAGTCAGGTGGTGCCCCAGGGCAGGAGCAACATGTGCCCTATTCATCCCACAAACAGGCTCTGCGCCATTCATCTGGCAAATAGGGCCAAAAATGTAAGCATCACTTATCCAGACCAGAAATTGTCTATTGTAAATCAACTTTCATTAACTGTCTCCTGTGACAATCAGGGCACATCCAGAAGAGCATGCTTGTGTGGTCTGTGGCACCATGAACCACATGTGCTGCACATGCAGGCATTCATTGTATTGCTAATTTGCAATGTGGTGGGTTTTTTTGATACCGGGAGATCCTGGTGTAAAAAAATCCTGTGCCAAAAAAAAGCAGGGAGGTGCACGTGGCACCAGTGTATATTGCCTGAAACCAGAGCCTGGTGAGCTGAAGCCACACTCCAGTTGCTGGTAAGCTCTGTGTATCTGGATCACCACCACTGGAGCCCCAGGAGGATGTCAGGATCCTAAGTAAGACTGCTGGGGTCAACCCAGGTGCTAGCCCCAGCCTCCTCTACCCCACTTGGGGCAACTTGCTGCATGCTGGAGCACACATGCAGTGTGAAAGTATGTGCTGCTGCTATTTGTCCCTGGGGAAATGCACACACTTATCTGTCTGGATGTGGCCTTATTGTCTATTTGCTTCTCCAAGACTTTTACCTCGTAAAATATCAATTTAAATTGTGCAAACGTCTAGAACATAAGTTGATCTATTTAAGCCAGTGGGACTACATGTGTAAAGGTTTTAAGGCTGGGCCCATAAGCTTTGTTTTTTGTAGCCATACCAAATAGTGCCAGCAAAGATGTAAAGGACAGACTAATCCAGGTAGAGGAAAGGAAACTGAGTCAACACACACCACTTAAAATGAAAGTCCCTGGGACAGAACTATCACTTCTGCATATTTGTACAGTGACTACCCACAAAGGGAGCCAAATCTGGATCTCCTGCTGTTGATCAAATATAATTGTAAATAATAACAGTGGAATTTTCTTCACATTTGCCTTTCGAGCAAGATTGTTTTTCCCTTACCCAAAAAGATATAGCTAAAGGACACAGTCTTCAAACCAAGTAATTTCCCGTCTAAACAGCTCAATGCTTCCATGCTACCTTTCAATTTCCTATTCTACAAGAGCACAGGTTACCCAGAGAGGTTGTGGAATCTCCATCCTTGGAAGTCTTTAAAACCCACCTAGACAAAGCCTTGGCTGGGATAATAGGGTTGGGGCTTTGAGCAGGGAGTTGGACTAGATGACCTTCTGAGGTCCCTTCCAACCATAATTTTCTATGATTCTATGATTCTTCAGGAATAGGGAGGTGAAGAGTGATTGTAAGAGAGATACCAAAGGAATAGCTCTTTTGTGTATTTCTCCCTCTCCCTGAAACTGTTTCTCTTATCTTGTATCTAGAGAGACAGAGGGGTTGTTTATGTTAATAGGGGATGATTCAGGCCAATAAGAAAGCAAAGTGCACCTCAATTCTTACAAATTCCAATCCAGCTACAACACTTATTTTCAGAATCATATAGCAAAAACAAACAAAAAACCAAACAAACCACAAAAAAAAAAATTACCAAAGAACAGATGTGGAATTAATTGTGTTTTAAAAATCGGTTTGATTGTGCCTCTAATTTTTCAAGTATGTTTCTATTACCAACGTGCCAAGATAAAACCCTAACCTGAATAAAAATGGTGAATACCTGACATTCAATATTTCATACATAAGACTGTCCTAGCAGTCTGACTGCTCATGTAGATTCTTAGCCAAGATACAGGCCCTCCACCTAATTCAGGAGATGCACAGCCCCACCAGGGGAAATGCCCGGCTGGACCTGGTCCTTGCCACAGGTGATGACCTGGTGAGGGGACTGCAGATTCTCAGCCACCTGGGTGATAGTGATCATCGCCTACTGAAATTCGCTATCCAGCGCAGGGTGTCAAGGGCTAGCAGTAAGGCGGAAGTCCTTGATGTCATGAGGGGTGACGTCAATGAGTTAAGACTAGTACGAGAGGCATTGGGATCCCGAAGTTTCAGGGAGATGGGATTCCAAGATGGGTGGTTGTTCCTTAATGAGACAATGCTCCGAGCCCAAAGGGAGTCAGTTCCATTGCATACCAAGGAGGGTAAGAGTGCTAAAAAGCCCCCATGGCTCAGCAAGGGCATTCAGGAATGCCTAAGGGCTAAAAAGGAGGTGCACATCCAATGGAAGCAAGGGGCTATTACCAAAGAGGATCACACCTCCATTGCTCGAGGCTGTAGGTGAGCTGTTAGGAAGGCCAAGGCAGAGATGGAACTGGGGCTGGTGACCAGGATTAAGGATAACAAAAAGTCCTTTTTCAAATACATAGGGAGCAAGAAGGCGGCACCGGGTAACGTAGGGCCCTTGCAGGACATGCTTGGCAATCGGGTGATTGCTGCAAATGAAAAAGCAGACCTCTTTAACAAATTCTATGCCTCCATTTTTCTGAGCAGGGACCGGGACATCTCCCCCACCAGGAGTACAGAAGGACTCAGGGGAGGCACCGCCAAGCCCAAGGTTAGGGATGACATAGTTAGGGAACTTCTGGAGGGGGTGGATGTGTTCAAATCAGCAGGCCCAGATGCTCTTCATCCAAGGGTGCTGAGGGAATTGGTGGGGGTCATTGCAGGGCCCCTGGCATGGCTATATGAGCACTCATAGAGCCCTGGTCAGGTGCTGGATGACTGGAAAAAGGCCAATGTGGTCCCCATTTACAAGAAAGAGAGAAAGGAGGACCCAAGTAACCATAGGCCCGTCAGTCTTACCTCGGACCTGGGGAAGATCTTTGAGAAAATCATCAAGTGGCACATCTGCAAGGGACCAGCAGGGGAAATCATGCTCAGGGTGAACCAACATGGGTTCATTACGGGAAGATCCTGTCAGACTAACCTTATTTCCTTTTACGATCAGGTCACAGTGTCCTTGGATGAAGGCGGGGGGTGGATGTCTTCTTCCTGGACTTTAAGAAGGCCTTTGACACTGTCTCCCACCCCATTCTCATAAAAAAAAAACTAGGCGCCTGTGGAATTGATGCCTACACAGTCAGATGGGTGGCCAATTAGCTGGACGGTCGGACACAGAGAGTGCTGGTGGACGGGTCATTTTTGACCTGGAGGGATGTGGGCAGTGGTGTTTCTCAGGGCTTGGTCTTTGGGCCTGTACTGTTCAACATCTTTATCAATGACTTGGATGAGAGGGTGGAAAGCACGTTATCCAAGTTCACTGATGACACCAAGATGTGGGGTGAGGTGGGCATGCCAGAAGGGAGGGACAGAATCCAGCTAGATCTGGACAGGTTACAGAGGTGGGCAGATGAGAATAGGATGGTATTCAA